TATTAGGAATTATAATAATCTAGAGATGATTTAAAATATAGGGGAGGATTTGTATGGGTTCTATGTAAATATTATGCCATTTTCTATATAGCCCTTGAGCACCTGAGCATTTTGGTATTCCTGGGGGTCCTGGAACCCTCCTGAGGGATGATATGCATATTTTCAGATTAGTCTTTTTTTTTTGCTTTTTTTTTCCGGTACCAGGAATCGAACTCATGACCTCGCGCTTGCTGGGCAGGCGCTGTGCCACTGAGCTAAATCCCCAGCCCCTTTTCAGGTTAGTCTTAAAGCAGTGCTTTTAGCAGATCTACCTGTGCACCTTTACTGGCTATCAGTGTTCTCCTGCAGTCTGAGGTGTAAGTCCAAACTCAGTGGAGATTTGAGACCTTTCACACTCTCCCAAACACCTCTAGTCTCTTTCTCATTATGTATGCCTTTGTTCAAAACATACTGGGCTCTTGCTGTTCCCTAATATACTTACATTTTTTTATTCATTAATTCAACCAGTATTTACTGTCTCCTGTGAGCCAAGCTCTTTATGACAAGGTTCAGAGAGAAAATCCCTGTTTTCGAGCAAACAGTTCAGTAAATGTTAGGCAGAGCATGATAAAGGCTAAAACAGGCGCTTGCGTACAAAGGGCCGCGTCTGACTGGACTGTGAGGTCAGCGGGGCTGCACTGGGAGCTTACACCCGGACTTCACCTGCAAGTCCAGTAGCAGTTCACTAAGAGAAAAAGCAAGGAGAAGTGTATTTAAGGCAAAGGGAAACAGGAAGATGGCCTAGAGAGTAGAAGCACGGTTCTGGGTGCGAATTGTCAGCGGTAGATCCAGAGCCGCTGGCTGAGTCCTGAGTGGCTGGGGCCCAGCTAGAGCCAGGTCAGGAAGGCTCCGGGTGGGTGTCCCGAGGCCACGGGGGTCCAGGAAGGACTTCATGCAGAGGCGGTAACAGTCCCCTTGTGTGAAGTACTGCCCTTTCTCCACCTTCCTCCCCGTGCCGCCTCCTGCTCATCCTCCAGGGATCACAATCGATGCTGTGTCCTCCATAAAACCTTTATGAATCACCTGGTCAAAAATAATTTCCCTCTGCTCTGTGTACCCATAATTCTCCATGCCATTTAGGCGTGAAACCTAAAGCCGTACTTCGGCGGTGTACCGCAACGCTCGCGGGAATTGTTTAAAGAAAAGTGATTTATAGTCTCATTACTTCGACACACCGTGTTTTCCCCAGTTCACCTTCTTAGCGCCAGATGGATTGGCCTGGGACTGTGTTTAAAGGACTTACTTAGGCTCCTAAAACAATTTTGGGGGATAAAAGGTTCAGTTCCTTTGACAAATACTTGCTGAGCGCACGTGAGGGGCCAGACCCTGAACTCCTCACCTGGCACCGCGGGCCGAGCTTGCGCCTCACCAGCCTTCCTGTGGCGCACACTGCTCTACCTGCCATCTCCTGAAAATGCCACTGCATTCCTGTGTCTGAGCTGTGTCAGCATGAGCTTCCTTTTCAGATCCATTCTGTTCCTTTTAATTTAATGTGACCGTTTCTTCAGAGCCCAGCTGTAGTCTCCGGCCTTCCTCCAAAGCCTCTCAGTTTTTTTTATCTTCGTTTTTATTCTTGTCTCCACATTGCTGCAGCAAAACCAAAATATCCCTCAACATGTCCTCGGCATTTTTGTTCACCAGATAAAGTCCAAATTCCTGGACCTTGTTTTTAAGTCTTTCTAAAATCTGGCCCCACTTTTCATTCCTTGTCCTGGTCACCTTGCCTCTCCTTCTGTCCCCAAATACCCGAGCCCATTGTCACATGCCTTTCTTTGCTCGTGATTTTTCTTCCCTCTGTCCCTGCCATCTGTCAAATCTTACCTATTTTCTTTCTTTCCTTTTTTTTTTTTTTTTGGTACTGGGAATCGAACTCAGGACCTTGCGCTTGCCAGGCAGGCGTTCGTGCCGCTGAACTATATCCCCGGCTCCCCCCATTTTCTTTAATAATTTTTTGGTTGTCGTCTATTAGTGTTTACATTTTGAACAGAAAAGCCAATCCATGTGGGAGGAGCTAAACGACTTAAAAATCTCTGTATTTACAAAAATATATAATATACTTATCAAGTATAATACTTATCAGTACTTACCAAGTATAATACTTACAAGTGCAAGTACATGTTGTATGTATTGCAGGTATATTACACACGTGTATGTCCGCATTCTTCCAGGTTATCCCTTTGAGGTGGCTAGAATGAAAGGCTTAGTGGGGGCTGGGGATTTAGTTGGGCTGGGGATTTAGCTCAGCGGCAAAAGCGCTTGCCTGGCAAGCGCAAGGTCGTGAGTTCGGTTCCTGGTACCAGAGAAAAACCAAAAAAAAAAAAAAAAGAAAGGCTTAGTGGGTCCTTCCATCCCTTTCCCTTTGTACCAGTCCTAATAGGCCTTTAAGTCCTGCCCCTTCCTTCAACAAAAATGGGGCCTTACCCATGTTGGTATACCAGCTATTTTCAAAGTATTGTCTGCACCCTTAGGGAGGGGTCCTGAAGATCCTTTTAGGAGTTTTAGAAGCAAAACCATTTTTGTCTGTGTGTGTGTGTGTGTGTGTCTTTGAGACAGGGTCTTGCTATGCAGTTCAGGTTGGCCTTCAGCTCACTTTGTAGCTCAGGCTGGTCTTGAACTTGCAACAATCCTCCTGCCTCAGCCTCCCTAGTGCTGGGATTACAGGTGTGCACCACCATGCCGGGCCCAAAACCATTTTCTTTCTTTTTTAAAAAAAAAACAAAAACATTTTTATAAAAATACTGAGAATCATTTGCCTTTTTCACTGGGTTGACTTTTGCACTGATTGTATAAAAGACTTGGATAGGGGGCTAGGGATTTAGCTCAGCGGCACAGCACCTGCCCGATAAGCACAAGGTCGTGAGTTCGATTACCGGTACCGGAAGAAAAAAAAAAAAAACAACTCTAAAAGACTTGGGTAAAACTGGCTCCTGAAGCATGCCTTTGGCATGGAATAGCACCAAACTGTACTAGTTATTGTGTTCTTCATCGCCATACACTTCCAGTTAATGCTAGTTTCACTTACGTCACTTGATTATGCAGTACCAATTACACATCTTTTCTAAATAGGAACTAAGCACGAAAGACTTCTGCCACATACTGAGGATTTCTTAACTCAAGAAACAGCAGTGGCATGATTGCCTCAGTTGCAAACTAAATAAACTCCCCTTTCATGGGACACCGTTTTTATGAGAGAACCACTGACAAACTCTGGAGATTCAGATATGTCTGACAGTCATGTTCCTGAAATGAAGAAAGCCTGTCATTTCAAGGCAAGTCATTTGTATTTGTTGCCAGTGATAAAATTCCATGCCTCATGAAAAAAATCAGAGAACTTGTATCTGGCATTGTGAACCTGACAGCTTCACGGTACTTAAAGAGATTTTTCTGAAGAGATTTATGAATATGACTTTTTAACTATTGCATACAGAAATGTATATTTCAAAATAAGACCGTAAAGGATGTCCAGAAGTAACAAAGTTTGAAGACCTCTACACATTTTCCTGCAACTTGCTTTTTCATTTAGGGTATCAACTCTACTCAGGTTCAGGGTCTAACAGTCTTTTAACAACAGCATGATGTTCTGTTGTGTGGATGAGCCATATCTATTTGATTATTCACTTTTTCTGAGACAGGGTCTTGCTGTGTAGTTCAGGCTGACATTGAACTCACTATGTAGCACACGCTGGGTATGAACTCGGGAGATCCTCCTGCCTCAGCCTCCCAAGTGCTGGGATTACGGGTGTGTGTCACCACACCCAGCATTCATTTGCTTTTTGATGGCCATTTAAAGCTGCCAGCTTTTTTGCTCATTTGAATAATATATAAACAAACATCCTTGCACATACCCTTAGGTACTAGTCTGTAATGTGTGTTCCTAGAAGTTGTCCTGTTTTTCAAGTTCCATCTAAATAAAAATTCTCCATCTCTATAAAACATCTTTGGTTATTTCTCTTCCCTGTGGTTATTGTTTATGCCCCCATTTAACCTCTTGTTCATTTACTGTCTTTGATGTCCCTTTGTTACTGCCTTTTTTTTTTTTTCCAGTACTGGGGATTGAGTCCAGAGCTTTTATACTGAATTACATCCCCACCTTTTTTTTGTTTGTTTGTTTTTGTTTTTGTTTTTTTGAGACAGGGTCTTGCTATGCAGTTGAGGCTCGGCTTGAACACACTATGTAGTCTAGGCCGGCCACACACACACACAGTGATCCTTCTGCCTCAGCCTCCCAAGTGCTGGGATGAGAGGCATACACCACCATATCCAGCCACAGCCCTTTTTAATTTTTTATTTTGAAACAGGGTCTTGGTAAGTTGTTCAGGTAGAGCTCAAATAAATGTGTTATGTTTTTTAAAACTTCATGCCAGTCTTGTCTTGCCAAGGAAGTTGTAAAAGTAGAAGCTTCACGCTGGGCATGGTGGATCATGCCTGTAATGCTAGTACTCAGGAGGCTGAGGCAGGAAGATAGTGGAGAGTTTGAGACCAGCCTGGGCTACATAGTGAATCCAAGACTAACCTGGACTATACAGCAAGACCCGTTCTGCAAAGGAAAAGAAAAAAACTGCTGCTGCTCCTCCTCTTTCTCCTCCCCGCCCAGCCCCCTCTCTTCTTCCTCTTCCTCCCCTTCTTCCTCTTCTTCCTCCTCCTTTTTTTTTTGAGACAAGGTCTCTCTGTGTAACCCAGGCTGGTCTTGAACGCAGTAATTTTCCATCCTCAGTCTCCTGAGTGCTAAAATAAAGAGAAGCTTCTTGAGGGCAAGCAGGGTATGCTGCACGGTCGTAGTAAGCAAATAATGAGAGAGCCGGAGGGTTCCTAATGAGAAAAGACGGCTTGAGAATTTTCACTCGGTGGACGGATGGGTGGACGGACGGTGCGGAGGGAAGCTGTGTTCACGTCAGCATTCCTCTCTCGTCTTGGAAAACGTTTGAAAACAGAGAGCTCTTCAACTTGATCTCTCATTCCAGGCAAGTACATCGCCTCAACACAGCGACCCGACGGGACCTGGCGCAAGCAGCGGAGGGTGAAGGAAGGCTACGTGCCCCAGGAGGAGGTCCCCGTGTGCGTGCTTTTCCTGAGGGAGGGGATTTCACGGGTCCCTGCCGAGGGACAGAAAGTGTGTGCACGGGCAAGGTGGACCCTCCTGAGCCCCAAGGAGGAGAAGGAAGGGGCTGGGATTCGGGACTTGAGGGTTCCACGGCCTAGCCTTGTTCCACGACGTCTGTTCCCCAGAATGTCCACACAGGAGCCCCCCCCCCCCCGCGTCACCGAGCGCACAGCACCGCGGGGGAGGACCTAGGGGGCCTAGGGGGAGCGCCTGGCAAGGCGGGGAAAGGGGAAAGCGGCAGTGATGGCTGGAAGTTCGTTGGTATCTTCTCTTTCCTGCAGGTATGAAAACAAGTACGTAAAGTTTTTCAAGAGTAAACCAGAACTCCCCCCAGGGCTGAGCCCTGAGGCCACCGCGCCGGCCGCCGCGTCCAGACCCGAAGGCGGTGAGCCAGGCCTCTCCAAGACAGCCAAGCGCAACCTGAAGCGGAAGGAGAAGAGGCGGCAGCAGCAGGAGAAAGGAGAGGTCGAGGCCTTGAGCAGGACTCTGGACAAGGTGTCCCTGGGGGAGCCAGCCGCGCCGCCCAGCGCGCCGCCCGGCCCCCAGGCAGCGCCCACAGGCGCCTCGGACCCGCCCGACGCCGCCGGCGCCGCCGAGAGAGCCAGGAAGATTAAGAACCTGAAGAAGAAGCTGCGGCAGGTGGAGGAGCTGCAGCAGCGGGTGCAGAGCGGCGAGGTCAGCCAGCCCAGCCGGGAGCAGCTGGAGAAGCTGGCGCGGAGGAGGGCGCTGGAGGAGGAGCTGGAGGACTTGGAGCTGGGCCTGTGAGCGCGCCAGGAGGACCGGACTGCAGAGCAAACCGCCGCCTCGCTCCAGGGGAGTGGGAGCGCCGCAGCAGGAGGGGCGCCCGCCGGCTCTCTCCCGCCTCGCTCCCGGAGCGTAGCCCTCCCTCAGCCCGTCCTCTTCCCAGCGCCTATATTTTGGACTTTCTCCTTCCCATCCCCCCGTTCAAAACCTCGGTGACTGCCCCAGGTACCTGACTTGGGTGTCTCGTTCAAAAGAAAATCGGGTGAGTGGGGTCTGGGAGAGCCGAGGTGGAGGATGGAGGAGCGCACCCAGGTCTTGGATTCTCGGTTGCTGTTCAGTGTTTATGAGTTACTTCTTTGTCTACCCCAACCCACACCTTTTTTTTAAGAACAAAAATAAACTCAGAGTAGAACAACATATCTGTGTGACTTTGAATCTTTCTTTTTAGGTCCTAGTAGGTAAGTATCTCCCATGCCAAGCTCATTTTTTTTATTTCTGAGGCAAGGTCTTGCTAAGTCATTAAATTGACCAGGCTGGGCTCCAACTTGCAATCTTCCTGCCTCAGCCTCCCAGAGTGCTGCCATTACAGGTATGTGTCACCCCACCTGGTGCTTTTTTTTTCCCTTAGTGGTAGTGGGGATTGAACCCAGGTACTTCTACTCGATAGGAAAGAGTCTTAGCACCGAGCTATCTCCCCAGTCCAAGAGAGTCTGACTGTCCTTTTCTCTCTCCCTCGCTCTTCTCTCCATCTCTCTATCTCTGTCTCTCTCTCTGTCTGTGTCTCTCCTTCTCTCCTCTCCCTCTTATTTTTTGAGCCCTCTCATTGTGTAATCCAGGCTGGCCTGTAACTCCCTTGAATTGCCCAGGCTGGCCTCAAACTCATATCCTCCTGCCTCAGTTTCTCAAGGGCCTGAATTATAGGTGTGCAGGTGTGTCTCATGTGCCAGCAAATTGAGCTTCCTGCTCTCATGACCTGGTTTAAACCTAATTATGTCCTCAAGGCATTGCCTGCAAATACCATCACGTTGAGAATTAGGACTTCAACATAGGAATTTGGGGGAGGCCAAACTTAGTCCATAGACTTCCCATGATGTTTTTGTGTAAACTATGTATATATACTTTATGTATATATAAAATAAGTAATTTGTATATATATATAATAAATGTGGGGGGGTTGGTACGAGGAATTGAACTCAGGACCTTACGCTTGCCAGGTAGGCACGTATCCCACTGAGCTATATCCCCGGCCCAAAAGGGGTTTTTTTAGGGGGGTTGTTTTTTTGTTTTGTTTGAGACAGTCTCACTTTGTAGTCCAGGCTGGCCTTGAACTTAACTATGTAGCCCAAGCTAGCCTTGAACTCATGGTGATCCTCCTGCCTCAGCCTCTCGAGTGCTGGGATCACAGGCATGCACCACCATGCCTGGCTATGGTAAGTTTGAAAGTCATTGATTCAATCAATAATGAGCTAAAGCATCACACATTCTTCCTGTTGTCCCTCTACTTGGGGTGTGTGAAGTAAACGGTATTATTTAATTACTCCCCTATGGTAGCTGATAATGAATTAAATTAGGCCCTGGCTTTAATTTTTTTTTTCTGGTTTTAGTTTTTATTCTTGAGGCTATATTGCTATTTATTTGACATTTCTCTTCTTGCATGTCATTCCCTCCTTATGTGTAAATAGCAAAGATGCTGGGGAGCTGGAGGTTATTTTAGGACTGGCTGTTTACAGTGTGTGGGCTTAGAGCACATGTGCTAGTTTCCTACTGTCCGCTAGGTGGTACTAGGAAGGGGCGATATTTGCAAGTTACCCTGACCTGGATTCCAACTTGTTTTTAAAGGAGCAGATAGGTTCACTCTGCTAGATTTTCTTCTCTCCAGGGCCCCAAGCATTTCAGGAGAAGATATTTAGATAGAGCACTCTCTCCCCGCAAATATCGCCTAGATGAACAAATTGAGGAGGACAGAGAATCTGGGACCAAGAGGTTTTTGTTTTGTTTTGTCTTTTTGAGACAGGGTCTCACTATGTATGTCAGGCTGGCCTTGAATTCACCATGTAGCCCACGCTGGCCCCAAACTATGGCAATCCTCCTGCCTCAGCCTCCCGAGTGCTGCAATTATAGGCGTGCACCACGGTGCCTGGGCCAGAATTGCTAACCCTTAAGGATCAAGCATCCTTTCCATTCCCTCATGGAAATTAAAGATGAACTGAAGCAGAAGGGGTGGGGTAATACTCCAAATGAATAGCTGGCTGTGTGTGGGTGAGAGAGGTGGCTGAGAGGGGAGATGGGCAAAGGTAAAGGATCTCTCTTTTCTTTTTGGGGGTACTGAGAATTAAACTCAGGACCTTATGCTTGCCAGGCAGGTGCTGCACCACGGGGCTACATCATCAGTCCTCTTTCTTTTCTCTGTCGTTTGAACGTGTTCCCTAAAGTTCACCCCTTAGGAATTTAATACTCAGTGCAACAGTGTTGTGAGGCGTGGTGGTGCGTGCCTGTAATCCCAGCACTTGAGAGGCTGAGGCAGGAGGATTGCTGTGAGTTCGAGGACAGCCTTGGCTACACAGTGAGCTCAAAGCCAACCTGGACTACATAGGGAGACTGTCTCAGTGAACCAAACCAAACCAAAACGAACAAAACCCCCAATGCAACAGTGTTGACAGATGGGACCTTGAAGAGGTAATTAGGTCATGAGGCTTCTGCTTTGATGAATGAATTAATGCTGGGATCACAGGAGTGGGTTAGTTAGGAGGGAGTGGGTTGTGGAGAAAAATGAATTTGTATCCCTCTCTCTTGCTTATTTATTTATTTATTTATTTATTTTGCTTATTTATTTTTGAGACAGAGTCTCACTATGTAGCCTAGACTAGCGTGAACTCACAATCCTCCTGCCTCAGCCTCCAGAGTACTGGGATTATAATCATGCTTGGCTCCCTACTCTCTTGTGTGTGTTCCCTTTGAGCCTTTGACCATTCCCCATAGATGGTGTAGCATGAATACCCTCACCAGATTTCAACTTTTTTTT